TAACATAACCCCAAATCTCATTAGTGCATCTTCATTGGGTGAGTATTCTAGTACTCAAAAGGGGTACAAATGTTACCCCCAACCATGAAAAGAGTCTATCATACATTGAATGTTACTTGGAAGTTGTTTATCGTATTCCAAAATACCTCAAAATGACACCAGGTCTAAGGTTGCACTTTAGAAAACATGACAACCGAGACCTAGAACTACGCGGATTCTAGTTGGGCTGAAGAGTAGACTAATAGACCACATAGCTACTGATAATTTCAGTAATCAATTTCATTGTCTCACACAACATAACATCTGCTCTGGCAATTCTTCAGACTTGTTACCCTGCATTATTTCATTCACAACAGCAGAAGCTTTGATCAGCAAGATCAGCAAGAATGGCAGAAGCATTGGTTTCAATTGCAAGGAATGAACATAAAAGCCTGTCTGAATTATGAGCCCAAAATCCAAGATGCAAAGCTTTAGCCTATCTAAGAATGCTTCAAATCCCTTCCTAGACAAACCAGAAACCAAATTAGCATATCATGGGTGGCAGTTATGTAGATTAAAGTTTTTGGAGTATCAGAAGGCATTAGCATTTCTTGTATTAGTAACTGTCACCACTCTCGATTATAAAATTTGACTACTGTATTCTTGAAAAGGCTGGAAAAAATATTCAAAACGCATTAGTTAAACATAACAGAACATTTCACTAATGTACTATTGCAACTAACAGACTTGACTCAAGAAATATGCACACATTCGAACAAGAAGATGGAACACAAACCTTTTACGAAAGATACTGCTTTCTCAACTACTAACTTAAGGGGATTATTTTGACCTGCAGAGAATGCCATTTGAACCTTACTTTGCCACAACTAAATATCTGAAAGCTACTGCTACTTCCTACACTTCCTACAGGATGGTATATTATTTTTTTACTATAATATAAGACAATGGATCATCAGATCATCATGCATCACATTAAGTGAAAGGGAAATATATGCAGTGTGACAACAATGGAATACCGTATACTAAGTAAAGAAAAGAATGATATAAAATAACCGAAGATATCAGTATGTCATTGTTCTAAAATGGAGTGGTTCTGTTGCAGGGTACAAAAGATTTACCAGTCCATCAATCACGGTGACTTAGCTGCACAAATATAATAATAAAATGTTTGTCCAAATAACCTCACTGGGGTTCCAAGAAACATTATGTCCCTCTGCCTTTAGCTAGTCTATGAGACACTTCTGAATTTTTACATAACAGAGCTCCCTCTTCCTTCTCATGTAATTAAATTATTTTTTGCTTCATCATACTCTTTTAACATCGAGAACTATTATGTTGTTAAAAGCATAGATGCTGAGACCCAAACTTGTGGAATCTATGAGGTACAGTCAGTTGGATGTCTACCCTAGTAGGTGCTAAATGAACTGGGAGTGAAATCTCTGAAAACATTCCTCCAAAAGTAGCAATCCATGAACAAGCAGAGAAGCTAAAACATTCCAAATATGTAGTTACTTTACATAATTTGCTACAAATTTCTGCATCACCTTTAGTACTGTCTCATCTCCACTTTTAAGTGCAAGTAAGTCGTTTATGAAGAACAATGTGCGCTCATTTGGAGAAATACCCTTACCAACCATTTCATCCAAAACTAGAATTGCCTCGTGACATTTTTTCTCTCTAACAAATCCTTGCAAAATAACATTATAAGTCACAGTATTTGGTAAGCAATCATTTCTCTCCATTTTCCTTAACAACTCTAAGGCTTCATCTATTAATCCTTCTTGACAAAGCCCATTTATCATTACAGTGTACGTATTCACATCTAGGCATCGCCCTTTAGAGATGAGGTCATTGAATAGATCGAGTGCAACATTAAGCCGTCCTAACTTGCAGAGCCTATCAATTATGATGGTACCATAAACATGAGAACCATTTCTGTTTCTATTTAATAACTGATGATAGACTGACATAGCCTCTTCAACAAGTCCATTATCACACAAACCATCAAGTAAGACACATGAAGTGTAAAAATTTGGTTTATGTCCAACAACCAGCATCTCCTGAAAAAGTTCCAGTGCAGCAGAACATCTACCCACCAAAAATAACCCCTGCAACATTACGTTATAGGTAACAACATCACGATGAAGCCCTTTTTGAGGAATTGCACGAAACATAGGCATGGCCTCATCCATTTCTTTTATTTTACAGTATCCATTAATTAATGTGTTATAGGTCCAAACATTAGGTTGAAGGCCACTTTCTACCATCCGACCAAAAACTTTCCTCGCTTCATCCATTTCTTTTATTTTACAGTATCCATTAATTAATGTGTTATAGGTCCAAACATCATGTTGAAGGCCACTCTCTACCACCTGACCAAAAGCTTTCCTCGCTTCATCCATCCGTCCTTGCAAACAGTACCCCTCAATAAGAGTGTTTTAGGTGACGACATTAGGATAAATCTTCCTTTGAATCATGATCTGAATAATAGTTTCCGCACTTTCCAACTTCCCCTCCTTACCTAGGGCATCCATTAATACATTGAAAACATACACACCTGGATATACATTATGTAGCACCATCTCATTCATTAACTTGGTAACCTCTTTCCATCGGCTAAAATTGCAAAGGCCTTGAATCAGTGAAGTGTATGTGAAGATATTCGGGGGAACCCCTCTTTCGATCATCTCGGAGAGAAGGCCAAGAGCCTTATCAACCATTCTGTCTTTACATAGAGAATCAATTACAGCACTATAGACTATAGTATCCGGCTTAGGTCCCTCCTGTTGCATTACTACAAGTAAATCAAGAGCAATTTGTGTATGACCTGCCTTGCAAAGCCCATTTATAAGAATACGATAAGTAATTTGATTAACTTTGCACACATTTTCCCTCACCAACTTCTTGAATAGCCCTACAGCCTCCAATATCTTATTATCCAGAAAGAGACCCTTGATCAGAGTATTGAATGTGACCACATTAAACTCAAATCCACACTTGAAAACCACACCAAGTAAGCAAAACCCACAATCTACTCGACTTGAGCTGCAGTACACATCCATCAGAATGCTAATGGTATACACATTTATTGGGATGCCCTTAATGCGCATTTCTTGAAACAAGGAAACAACTACGGAATAATGCTTCAATTTCACAATTCTACTAAGTAGTTGGTTGAACTTAATAATAGAAGGCAAGGGCCTGGTATGAGCCATTTGACGGAATAACTTTAGGGCATCATTAGAGCTTTTTTTGAATTTGGATTGATTTATTGAAGAAACCGTACCTGCTTCTGTTTCCGCCGCAAAAATGGCCGAAATGGGAGTAGAGCTTGCTGTCCTTATTCTCCTCCAACTCATGTTAGTGAAGAACCAAGACAAATTAGCATTTCTCTTTGTATTCATTTTCAAGAATGAAAATGAAATGAAAGTTAGGGCTTTGAGGAAAGAAAGAAAAACTTGTTTCCATCAAACACTGGAATTAGAAATGGAGCACCACTTTAAATCGATTTTGTTTTTAATATATAATTTATTATTTATTTATGGCTCTCTTTTGTATCTACCCATATTTTAGTATTGTTCCAGTTGTCTCACTCAAAAGAAATGCTTATAATTTAGACATTTAGTAATTGAATTAATGAATGTGTCCGATGATAAAACTGTAATCTAGTCTAGCTATCATCCATTAAACCGGATAACTAATAACTATTTACCAAACATCTCATTGTATTTAACGATTTTATCGTATTTAACGGTATTTAAACTGTTTTGTTGATAAAAGACTAAAAATAATCATGTCATTATAATATTATAACCAAAAGTGAATGTTGAGAAAATTTCAATTTTGGTCATACGACTATAGGGGCCTTGTTAATTTCAACACCTAACTTTCAAAAGTATCAATTCAGTACCTTGAGTATGTAATTTTTCTTAATTTTGGTCATTCCGACCAATTTACCGGTCAAATTCGACCGGAGAAAATAATAGGCACAAAACTGAGGGGCAAATGAGTCTTTTCATCATCTACTCCTAATTGACCGGACCGCGTTCTTGAGCCGGTTCACCAAATCGACTACACTCCTTCCCTCACTATTAGACATGCGTATTGTTCTACTCTAAGCCCTAACATTTGCATGGCCAAGAGCAGACAGAAGGGTGGGGAGAAGAACGAACCGTTTGCAGTGCCATTCCCCATCTCCATTTTGAGTATGAGTAATTTCTACACTTCTTCTTCTTCTTCTTTGAGTACTGAGTACAATGAATTTGGAGAGAAGTTCCCAATTCACCATTGTAGATGTGGTCATCAATTAAAGATTTGAACTTCATGGACAAATGAGAATCCAGGTCGGAGATTTTGGCAATGCCGTGGTAGTATGATAAGTAATTATCATTAGTTTTGGTTAAGAGAAAATTTGCTTTCCCAAGATTTTGCAAATTCGTTAATGGTGTTCGTTAATTTTTGCAATGCCGTGCCATTCCCCATCTCCATGCTGCAATGGTGTTGTTTAATTTTCAAAGCTATGGTTTATTATGCTTGTTTATATATTATTATTTTTGGTTACTGACTGCAATGGTTATTTTTGCAAACTAGGATGGTACTGATTGCAGTTTGTTATTTTTTTGGTAAAGTTTGGTTTTTGTGTTTTTGTGTGAATACAGAGTCAGGTGGGGTGTGGATTTGTGGATTGGTATGATCCTCCAATTTGCTATCGTTCGAAGCGAATCATACCGGGATTGCTAAAACGCATAAATAGACAAGATGAAGAAATCAGAACACTAAATACTAAGCTTAAAGGTCAGAAGATGGAGGATGGAAAAGTGTTGAAGTGGTTGAACAAATTGGTAGTAATATTGATTGTAGTAGTTGTAGCTTATGTTGTCAGTAATGTAATGTAATGAAGACATGAAGTGATCCTTTTGGTAATGTAATGAAGTTATCTTTTTGATAATGTAAACAAGTGATCCTATTGCCATTTGAATTGTCATTGATTAACCAACCATTCCTTTACAAAACTAAGCAGCCACACTGCCATTATAAGTAAAGCACACTGCCTAAATAACCAAATCACACTACCTAAATAACTAAAGCACACTGCCCTAATTCACCAAAGCACACTGCCATTACATAACTAAAGCACACTGCCATTATAAGTACAACAGACTTCCATTATACCAACAGAATGTTCACATTCATTGCAACAATTCCAACCATTCCAGCAATAAGGTTTATAATCACTGATCCAAAAACATCAAAAGTAATCAACAGTAGTACATCAGTCAAGGCTTATGTTCAGTGATCAAAAAACAAAAGTAGTACATCAGTCAGTCTAGTCTAGTCTACGTTGATTGGCTCATCAATGTTTCCAAAAAATTTGGACTTCATCGTTGTCTTGCTCCTCGTATAATATGGCTTCTTACGGTTGGATTCCCTTTTCTGTGTGCTCTTCTTTTTGCTCACTGTAGGCTGCTCCCCAAGACCTTCATTGCCTCCATGATGCACAGGAGCTTCAACCTCTTGACTGATTCCATGGTGCTGCTGCTGCCCAACCTCTTCATTAAGTCCATGCTGCTGACTCACTCCATGATCCTGCTGCCCAACCTCTTGACTCACTCCCTGCTGCTTAGTGATGTGGATGGGGATTTGTTTAGTGGAATAAATCACCTTTTTCTTTGGCTTCATGGAAAACAATACACTACTTTTAGTTACAAACCATGCATAGATTCAAATACTCTAAATAAAATTATATACCACAAGGAATATTACCTTTTGCTTTGGATTAGATGGACATCTCCTTGAATTGTGTCCAGCTTGCTTACAAAGGGAGCAGTGCAATTGTATATGCTTTCTTGAGACATATACTTCATCCACACTCAACTTTGGTCACTCAGGCTCATCCTCACCCGCAGATTTCTTCCTTAGCTTCTTAGGTCTCCCAACATTGGCAGAATAGATAGGGGGCAGTAGAGGAGTGTTGTTACTGATTGGCCACTCATCTGGACCAGCCATAGGGTTAATTGAGCCCTTGTATATTTTTAGATAAGTCTCCTTTGAGTAACATGGATGTACAAAGTCGTAAACTGCTCCATTGCCATTCTTTTTCCAAATAGCACACACAACATTCTTGCATGGAAGCCCAGTGAGATCCCACTTCCTACAAGAGCATTTTTTGTTCTCCAAGTCCACCTCTTGTTGGTCTCCATACAGATGTTGGACTTCAAACTTAAAAAAATCACACTGGTAGCCAAATATCTAGCAGCTTGTTTCTCAATTTGCTTCATTTTTCCAACAATTTTAGGACAGATAACTGAGTTCCAACCAGCTGCCTTTTGTCTTTATTCGAAGAATTTGGCCATTAACATTTTCCTAATTGTTTCAAGACAGTCAATAATAGGCTTCTCCCTTGCCCCAAGTAAAGCTGAATTCCATGACTCACAAATATTGTTCACCAACATGTCAGAATGGCTAACTGTTGAGAAGTGGGATCTAGACCATTCCTTAGGATCCTTATCACCTAACCATTGATATGCTTCTTCATCTAATTCTCTAAATTTGCTTAAAGCAGTACTGAATGAAGTCATAGTTGTTGCCCTAGCACAAGCCCACAGACTATCCTTCAGTGCTCTGCCTTGAAACCCTGCCACTTTCATATTGGAATGTAGGTGCCTCACACAAAATCTGTGCTCTACTCCAAGTAAGACTGCAAGAAAAGCTGGAATTAGTCCCTTTTGTTTATCACTTATAAAACAGAAATCCTGCTCACAGTGGTCTAAAATCTGCAAATCATCCTTGAGCAATCTTAGAAACCAACTCCAAGACTCCTTATTCTCACCTTCTACAATAGCATATGCAAGGGGGAAAATGCAGTCATTAGCATCCACACAGACAGCAGTAAGTACCATCCCACCTGTAGAACATCTCAAGTGACATCCATCCACTCCTATGAGGGGTCTACAATGCTTGAAGCCTTGTTTGCTAGCATCCCAGCACATGTACATCCTTAAAAATCTCTTCTGCCCAGATCCATCAGCCAAATCTCTGTCCTTGACAATACAAGTGGTGTGTGGGTTTGTCCTTAAAATTTCATCATGGTAGTTCCAAATCTTCTTGAAGTTGTCTTCATCATCACCTAGTCTTTGTTTCTTAGCCTTCCAAATTGCCCTATAGGCTTGTTGATTACTTAGATAGAAACCCTCTTCACTGCTCACCTTATCTCTGAATTTTTTCATCATCCATTCAGGATGGTCTCTTAATTCCTTACACCACCTCTTTGCAACAACACTTGCTTTGACTAAAGAGTTCTCCCAAACCCAACAGCAACCTTCATGCACATCCACCATGTTTAGAATCCTCCAAGACAAAGAGTTTTGTACTTTCCTCAGTCCTATTCTCCAAGGACAACCATGTTGTGAGAACTCAACTATAACCCTCTGCTTATCATTTCTAAGAGTTCTAATATCTTTCCCATTTTTTAAACCATAGTTTCTAATTGCTTCTCTAAATTGTTGCTTGGATGCAAAAGTCATACCTAATGTAAACTGTGGATCTTGCATGTCAGTGGCAGGTCTAAAAATAGTCCACTTATTATCTACATCACTGTCAGAATTCACTAATGAGGCATCATCAGAGAAGTTGATCTCATCAAAATCATTTGTGTTTCTGTTTCTGTCAGGCTCTAGCTCAACCATGACACCATTACCATCTTCAACATCAGTTTCAATCTTTATGTTCCAGTTCCTTTTCCTGTTTCTGTCAGCCTCTAACAAAGCTTTCACACCCTTACCATCTTCCTCATCATTACCACCATCAGCACACTTCTCATCCTTGTTTAAACACTCAACCTCAAGCTCAAAGTCACTGTCCCATTCACCCTCAGATTCAAAGAAATCTATTTCTGTTTCAATAAAATCAGTAGCATCCACTGTTTCCACCCATATCTCTAATATTTTTCCATCTTTCTGTGCATTAATTAGATATTTTGCAACATCAAAGTCAGTTTGAAGTAAATTCAACCTTTCAGTGGTAAAATCATAAATGTTGGCTCCTATTTCAGAATACCCTAGAGCTTTGATCTTATCATTGAAGAACTGTATACAGACTTCCTTAGCATCCACACTTTCATATAATTCTACATCACCCCCCAAATACTTCACTTCACCTTGCCTATTTATAATTTCATTGTGAAATAGAGCAATTTCAAAGAGGCCAAGTTTATCTTCTGGAAAGCACCAAAATAGTAAAACAATAAAGTAAAAGCATATGTCAGTATAACTAAACTACAAACTTCAATATATGCACATGACATTTCAAGAAAAAGATAAACACAGTGGTCCCCCCCAAGCAAACCTACTCAGAAAATTTAAATATTCAATACATTGGACCCCACAAGCAACTTTCTCAGAATATGTCCTTAATCTAACACAAATATACAAGTAAAATGGTCCCCACGTGTCATCTTCTCAACATATATAAAGCCCAGTCAGAGAGAATATCACCATTGCTACTTTACACTATACTCTACTCACATACACACAAGAAATACTCTGAAAAACAGAATAATGCGAAAGGTTCCAATTTCAAAGTAATTTTTACAAGACTAAGTAAATCTTACTTGCTTCGAGAGTATTGGACGCACTACCCATTCCACTACCAGAAGACGACATAGCCATTCGTCGTTGTGTTCACCTTCCTTCGTCTGTGTTCGCCGGAGTACTTGTTTACTCCTTCGACGTCTTCACCTTCGTTCGTCTGTGTTGTTCGCTTTAGGGTTGTGAAACAAATTAGGAATTGATTTACGAGATAGAGTAGAACAATACGCAGGTCTAATAGTGAGGGAGGGAGTGGAGTCGATTTGGTGAACCGGCTCAAAAACGCGGTCCGGTCAATTAGGAGCAGAGGATGAAAAAACTTATTTGCCCCTCAGTTTTGTGCCTATTATTTTCTCCGGTCGAATTTGACCGGTAAATTGGTCGGAATGATCAAAATTGAGAAAAATTACATACTCAAGATACTGAATTGATACTTTTGAAAGTTAGGTGTTGAAATTAACAAGACCCTTGTAATCGTATGACCAAAATTGAAATTTTCTCAGTGAATGTTTTTAAAAAAACAAATTAAAAAGTGATTGCTAGGACAAAAATAGAATTAATTCAAAAATATAATGTACTCTATGCAAGTATGTTTTAAAATGTTTATTTGGATTAAACGGCCAAATTGGCGGGTAAAAAATGGAGCGTCTTCTCAAACTCTCACAATTCAAGCTTCAACTTCATGCCCTAATTTCCGACGTGAATGAACTCAAAGTAAAGCAAATGTTAATCCCAATCTTCCTCGATCTCTCAAAACCTGAAAAAAAAAAAAAAAACAAATCTCAAATTGATTGTATTGAAACTATTGCAGGAAAGAGAACGCAAAGCTTCTGAGCAGCTCCAACTTATGGCCCAGGTTCATCTCTGTCACTCTAAATTTTCTCTTAATGCACTATTCGTAACTCGTAAGTGTATATATCTGTTTGAATGAGTGTTGAAATTGGCATGCGACAGAAGCAAAAGCAAACTGAGGAAGAATTCAACAGAAAGTTGGGTGGACTAAGTGCGGAGTTGAGTTTGTCGAATGAGTTAAGGCAGAAGCTAGAGAGAGAGGTGAATGCACATGAGGTGTTTGTAGGAATTGTTCTTTCAATTGAAAACAAGTCACTGCGCTTTAGTAAAACTGCGTTGTTGAAATTATATAAATTTAACAGTACGTAAGGAGTGAGTTGATGATTTGTGTCATGGTCCTCATGGACTTTATACATTTTTGTCGTGTGAAATGGTGGCAGGTGAGATGTCTACGAAACGACAATGATTTGCTTGAGATCCAGCAGAAAGAAATGAAGGGAACCATTAACAACATACTTGAATCAAGAGAAAGTTTCATTAAGGCTTATGAGGTTCACTTGTTTAATTCTTTTTCCATACTCAACCTTCTTTTTGATTGATGGTTTTATCCAGTTGTGCATCATTATAATTTCACTTGTGTGAGGTTTTGTTCTGCTTCTTTTCTGCCACATTTATTGATTTGCAGGATTCCACATGTGAAATGAGACGGGCTATTGAAGCCAGGGATAGAAAAATTGAGGTTCTGTCTGAAAAGCTAAAAGCTCACTCCATGTTGTTTGATTCCATTGAAAAGGAGGCTTCTTCCATCAAGCAAATTGTGGAAGACACACGCAATGTTCTGAGTGCAAGAGAGGAAGTAGGCATGTAGCTTTTGTGGGTACTAATTGAAAAATCTTGGATGGACCAAGTCTATATGTGGGATCCTAGACCAAACCAATTTAAAACAAGGCGCATTTTCCATGCGAACCATGTTTAACATAATCACAAGTACACATGTCTTATTTTCTATTGATTTGCTCTTGGGCCCCACATTTAGACCAGTCAATTCAAGCATTTACTGTTACTGATTGGCTTTGTTTGCATTCCTGTTTTCTTTTCTTTTTCTAATTTCTCTTGCTTTTGCAGTTGCTGAGTTAAAGAGTAAAGTTGATGAGGTTTCAACATTTGAGAAACAATTTGTAGGTAATTTCATCCCCCATGTGCTCATGGAATCTGGCTCACTGACATAGAGCATGTACCAATGGAACTAAGGGTTTATCTAGCTAAACAGCTTTCTATCACTTCCAACATTTTTCAATGAACCAAATGCGTGATAATTTAAAAATTAGTACTCTGTATATGATATTTGTAAGTCTACCATATATAATTCTGTTCGCAGAAAGGATAAATAACCTGGAAAGAGAATTGAGGAACAAGGAACTTGAGCTTAGGAAGAGAGACATGACTATTCTGGGTCTGAAGTTGCAAGTTGAGGCAGCAGATGTTAAAAGGGAATTCCAACCAAAGATTGAGGAGATATCCATACACGCAGTTCTTCATTCTGATTTGTCAACTCTAAATAATGACCTTTCTTATACTGCTTTAAATAATGAGAATTCTTTCTTAACTAATTATACCTTCAGCAAGATCTGTCTGTGAAGGAACTGATCATACAGAACTTAACATCGGAGAACAAGGTCTGTGTTAATTTGATGGACTGTTTCTGTTCCAGAGGACTTGATTTTAACTTATGGATGCTTCTTGATACTCAATTGTCAGGAATTACATTTTGAAGTGGCCAGTTTAGGTGTGGTCATGAAGAAGATCCAAGATGCTCTCTCACGTATGAATGAAGAGGTTAGCTGCTATTTTCACTTGAAAAGCTCCAGTTGAAACTTGAAGTACTTGTAGATTTAGCTTTTTGAGAATTTTGCAATGTGAAATTATGTTTACTGTTTAGTACTTTTAGGAACTTGGGGTTGAAAGCACTACAACCTCGATGTATTTTTATGCTCACTAAGCTTTAAACATATATACAGTTGGTACTTTACATTAGCCTGATGATCTATGCAATCATAGGGTCCTTTCTCATCATTAGTAATTAGTTTAACTATTACTGAGTCTATATTAGCCTCTTTTAATATAACCTCTTTGTTGTGTTATGTAATACTTCATGTACATTTGTTTTTAACTAATTTGAAAGCGTCTTGGATCCTATGCCAGGACAGAAAAACATTAACTATTGTGCTTGAATGCCAAGAGGAGTATGTAGCTAGTGAAAAGGGGGAAGCTTTAAGGTATAAATACTAGTGAACTTTGCAAACTTTTGTATTAAAAGTTGAATTTCTAACTTATGTAATTAAGAAAATAGTTGAAAGTCCTTACTTAGCAAGAACTTAATGTTGAATGTGGATTTTTTAAAATGAGTATGTTGTCTTGTCAAAAACTAAGGTTATATATCTTTTTAAATACAAGCTTCTTTCTTGCACAATAAGCCCAAGCAACTAATGATTCTCAACTTTATATACTCTTGAATTTATAGCAGAACAATTCTTGGTGTCAAACTTACAAACAGCCGTTAGCTAATTGCATATAAATGTGTGTTCATTTTAAAGCAAGATGCACAGCTTGAGACTGAATGTGGAGATAATCCAGTTTAAGAATCTAACAGATGCTTTTTTCTATTCCTGGTGGACAAACTCAATAGGCAAGATGCTGAGCTGCATTAATGTGCCTATTTTTAATCTCCTAATATTCTGAAATATTTCACACCAGGGCAGAAGATGAAGTTCAAAATGGAGAAGAAAACCTCCATAACAAGTCTTTTGTTACAAAGGACAATACAAGTATGTTGTGTTATTCAGTTTTTGCTTTCTTATCAATCTATCTTCTGGCTTGCGCCTTTACTGCCTTATTTGTATAGAAACTCATTTTATCACCTAGGAGGCATAACATCTTTAGCTGGCATCTTTGCGATTTGTATGGAATCAAAATTGCCAGGTCTTGCGTTAGCCACAGTTCCTTCTTCATGTCTTTGGTACGTATTAAATTCATTCAAAATTTCTCTGTTTCATTAATGCAGCTTCACCAGAATTTGATGAGGGTTTAAAAAACAACTCCTTGAAGGAGGATGGCATGTCTGATTCCTATGTATCAGAGGCAAGTAGATACTGATAATGTTCAAAATGATGCTCTTAGTTCCTGCAAACTAATTATCTGCGGAAAACATTGCAGTCTGCTTGCTTAGTGCATCAATTTGAAAACTGTGCACCAAACCCATCAGGTGCTGAAGCAAAGCCATGAACTCATCAGCAAGGTTATAATGGGATTGCCTATTATAGTTAGATTGTCATCTAAACAAGCCAGCTCATCAACTACTCATATGGATATTATCACCCTGGATATCAATTCTTGTTAACTGTTGCCCTTGTGCTCCAGGAGTAGTGTAATTACCCAGATAATAGCCCTGTTTGCCACAATCATCATCTCTGTCAATTCCTTTTCACTGTCTCATTTTAGTTTTTGTTCCTTCTAATGTAGGATGAGCTTACAGCCTCGGCAACCCATCTAAATTCAGAGCCCTCAACAGCACAAGAAGATAAGCCATAAATCTGTGAGATTCAGTCTTCTATCCATTTCCCAATTCGTGTTTTTAAGGTTAATATTACATATCAAGGAATTTATATCAGATCATGGTAACATAAAGTGTCTAGCATGTACATAGAGCTTTTGCCTGATGCTTTGCCTACACTAGTAACCCCAGTAAATCTCCTCCATGCATTCTGCAACCATTTCTATGTTTAGCTACTTTCTGTAATACTAATTTAGCAAGTTTAAACTTCAAATATAGGTGTGATTTGTTTTCTAAGATATTAAAACATTCTGATTTGTTTTCTTATACAATTCTGTATATAGGTGTGAGTTGTGGTATGTTTTACACAATGTCTGTTATGGTTCCACCTTGGGCTTGGCTTGTAGGCCATACTTGGGCCTTTTATAATTTAGCAAGTTTAAACTTCAAAACTGTGTTCTTCAGTTCTTGAGCTTCACTGTAAAGCCTAGTGTTGACAAGTGAAATGATTTTTTCTGCCACATTTGCATTTGAAGATGGCAATGGTAGGGCTGTTAGTCTGCTTATTTTGGATAAATTGTTCAAATAATGTCTTGTTTGTAAAATCTAGGGAAAAAGGTTCAAATATACCCTCTGTTGAATTTAGCCTCAAGATAACACAACATAAACACCCTTGAACTTTATACGAAAAGTCAATTAGGTTTCAGAATTTTTAAAAATTACAATTAAGCACACCATGTCGTTTTAGTGCATAGAAATTCAAAAACCGATTAGTGATATGTAAAGGCTGTAATAGTAGGTCGTTAGGTTCTGGCGATGTTCCGGTTAACTCCGGAGCAAAAATCAATGACCATCAACTCAACAAGTCACCTTCTTTGAAGAAGGTGACTGTTCGTTGGTCGTTGATTTTTACCCCAGAGGTACTGGAACATTGTCGCAAAACCTTTATGACTTATTAATACAAGTCACTAATCGATTTTTAGGTTTTGATGAACTAAAACATGTTGTGTTTAATTGTCACTTTTAAGGATGAATGACCTATTAATACAAGTCACTAATCGATTTTTAGGTTTCGATGAACTAAGGGGGGTGTATTCAATCATGACTTTCATAGAGTTTTAAAGACTTTTATGAACTTTAAAAGTTTGGAGGTATTCAATTCAAACTTTTAGAGAGTCTTTAAAAGTCAGGCGGTATTCAATCAAGATTTTTAAAGAGTCTTTAAAAGTCGTGTGGTTTTCGATTAAGACTTTAATTTTAGAGAGTTTTTAAAAGTCATGTGGTATTCAAAAAGTTATGAACTTTTGTAGACTTTTTAATTTTAGAACTTTTGTAGACTTTCTTAGACTTTTCCTTCTCAAATATAAATAGTTGAAATCCAACCATCAACCCCAAGATTTCAAATTTTTCTTTCTAACAACTTTGAATGTTTTCTCTCTCTCTCTATTTAAACTCTATTTTTTCTTCCTATTTTAACTTTATAAACCTATCTAATTTTAATAAAATTATTTTTTTCTTCATTATCTTATATTTTCCTCATACCTATCAATATATCAAGTGTGTATATATATATATATATATATATATATATATATATATATATATATATATATATATATATATATATATATATATATATATTATTAATATTAGATTTTTATTTTTTTTATTTTATGCAACTTGTAATTATATTTTTAAATATTTTATTTGATCAATTCTTTTATTATAAATTTTATTGTTCAATACTATGGATTAAAATTAAAAATAATAATGCTAAGAATGTTGATATGGGTGAAGAACTATATAATAAGAAGAATTTTATGATATATTATAAATGTTTTGTAAGAAAAAATTATAAATGATAAGAATCAAATTCATTAAAAGTTTGTAAGGATGTATTCAATTTAGAATTTCAATGACTTTTGTAGACTTTTTAAAATAAGAAGTCGATAAAAGTCTGAATGTTTTTTATATAGACTTTTATGGAGTCTTATAAAGTTTTAAAAAGTTTTGAACGACTCTATGAAAGTCAACCACACCCTCTAAGTTAACTTGAAGTACTTTTCACCCCTCCATTTCAATTACTTCTCTCAAAATGTTAAATTTCCAACCCAACAGAACATGTAAGAGGAGATAAATCATGATAACTACTCAGTGACTTGGTATAAGTTTAATAAACCGCATAATATTGATGTGCAAAATAAATTTGTCGACTTTAAACATAATTTTTACATTGATATTGCAGGCCAATAATTTCAATTACTAATTACTAATGATAGCGACTTCATGCATTTATACTGGAGTGCAGCCATGGCTATTGACTATGCAGCGGCAGTTCATGTACGCCGAAAGCATTTAGTTTCGTTAGGTTGAGATTAATTAATTTCATTATACTAACTACAGACCACTAGAAATAGCTATTTAGTTGTGGTATTACTAATCTTGCTACTTGTTAGGGAAAACTAATAATAAATCATCACTCTGTTGAGTTTGTTGTAGAGAGTGTTTTAGTGTGGTTTTTTTTTCCTATGTAGTTTACGCCTTATTAAAAGTTTTTTTTTTTAATTTTTTTAAATCTCTAATTTGTTTTTAATTCTCAAAAAAATTACTCTGTATTTAGTAAACACAGCCTTGGACTGATATATGCTTCAAACAACGTAATGAATGATTCCTTTGAAATATTGTCGCCTTTTATATTGCGTTGACAACTTTGCAGCTGCTACATTTATTTCTTGGTACTATCATTACCCCCACACGTTTACTTTCTTCTCCCTAAAGGTTCAGTAATCAACCCTGACGCAACACAGCATTTTGAAGGATCTAGATCACAGTAACTCAATGACTTAGCAGACAAGACCATAGGACCACATGTCAATGCGCATAAAAAATCTATTCACTTTGGATATAATTCCTACACTGTCATTGCTAAGGCTCAAATCTTGTCTCTTCTTTCAAATATTTTCTAGTGAACCAGTATGTTAAACTCGTACAGGTCACGTTTTTACTTTCTACAATTATTTAATTATTTATTTGTAGTGGATATTTACTTCTCCTTTTTTGGGAGAAGATTTATTTATCCTTTTTTCATAGTTTTCAGTTTTGTTTTAATCTTATTTTTAAATAAGAATACTTTTAAATTATTTGTTAAATAAATATATTTTTTAAACGATAAAAGTGAAATAGACTTTCGAATTATTCAAGAAGGTACAATTAACTCCTCAACTACAAAAACTTCAATTGGACACTCAAACTCAAAAAAAAAAAAATAATAATCTATTTTTACCTATAAACAACAAGTTAGGGTTGAATTGGATGCAACAACATGCATTATTATTATTATTAATGAAAAACTATAGTATTAGTCCTCACATTGTTCATGATACAAACTCAATTTTTGAGTAATTTTATGTGCCAATTTAAGACTAATACTATTCTTCTTCCAAAAAGTTGAATTATGATCAAAGTATATTTACAAACAAATAATATCCGGAGTATCGGGTAATCGATTCACAGGGAAGTGGGGTATTAAGCACCAATTACTAATTTATTATATAAAGCTAATCCTAACGATTGACTTGGATGGTTGCAATAAATAAATAAACTAAAACAATGATGCAGGGTAATGAAAACAATTGAGAGAGAGATTGAGATTCTTGGGACTCAAGTATTTAATCACCTAGTGTCAAATCTTAAGGAAAATATTAAATCTGGGTAAAACATGTGTGAGAATGCAAAGATGGTATAGAGTTACTCTCGTAGTCCCTAACACTAGTGAATATACACTCTCGTGATATAAACACCCAATAAAACAAGAACAAGCATTCATAATTAATTCATAACTAATACCATCTCTCGATGTGCAATAATCAAGAGTTATTTTATTCCTTAACTAATTTGCCATTTCTCAAGGTGCAACAATTAAGTGCAATTGTGTGTGCCCCTAAATTATGCCCAACTCTCGTTGTGACACCAAGAAGCAAACGAAACAAGTAATTACGGCTATTTAACTACTAGCAACAACAATATAAAACACGATTGCAACACAAGTTATAACCCAAATAATAATATATTAAAGAATCTGAGAGCTAAGGCACATAGGTTCATAAACACTTTTACCCAAGAATCTCTAATTGAATTTAGCCAAGCATGGCTAAATTATACATAGCAAATATATTTAAAGAATTACAAATCATCAAAGAGAGTACACTTTCTTCTTGCTTCTCAAGACGACTCGTGGCTCTTGATTTTCTCCTATTTCGTGTCTCCAAAGATCTCGAATAATTTTTAGGGTTGAGGAATGTGGGATTTTATAGTCGGAACCAAACGCGGAGAGAATAGGAATCCCCCTAGGGTTGAAGGAAGATGGGCTTTTTATAGTGGGAGCCTAATAGGGATAAAATAGGATGTTTCCGCAACTTAAATTCTCGCCCAGGACATAGGTCCGAATTACAGGCTTGTTTTGACCATTTTCCCGTCTGATTTGGACTTTAATGTCTTGATAAGAGTTGTATCCCTTCGAGCCTTCTTTCCAATGGCGCAAGAATCACCTCATTTGGACATTCCTAGACTGAGATATGGTCCAAAAACTGAACTGTTGCCAATCTGTGCGAGAACTTTTACTTATGAAACTTCACTGGAAATTTTCGATGCGTAGAGTTTAACGCTGCATACCAGATTGTATCCCTTCGAGTCTTCTTTCTAATGGCGCAAGAATCACCTGAATCGGACACTCCTAGCATGAGATATGATCAAAATACTAAGCTGTCGCCGAATTCAGCGGGAATTACAACTCTTTGCTCTTTTGCTCCACTTTTCCCTTGTTTGGTTCTTGTAATCAAATCCATTGAAAGCACACTATTTGGCTCTCTTTAAGCATTTTAGCCACCTCTTTAACTCCACCTTGACTTTGTTTTGGCTACAAACTCGTCCTAGAATTTTCCTTACTTTTGCACTTGACCTATAATGGTTTTAAAACACTAACAAATAACGTAAAACATTCAAATTAAATGTAAAACCATATCTTAATAATAAAATAAAGGATTATGCTAATAAATTACCAAAATCGTGAACTCAAGCCTAACAAATATAATCAAATTAATACTAGAAATATGTACAATTAGGCTCACATCAAATTCCCATCCCGATCTGATAGAACATTTGGGAGGATGTAAATTATGGTGACTCAATGGCACAACGGACATGGTCAAATGTCGCAGTGTGCATAATAGATCTGTCC